GCAGCTGGGGAAAAACTGGCAACTTGGGGAGTTAATAATAGAAATAGAAAGAAGTACATAGATTTGAGAAATAAAGAGCGGTTCAGTCAAAACGAGCTGAGCCTGGTGGTGCATGCTTGTAATGCTAGCACTTTTGAGGCTGCAGCAGAAGGACTGCAAGTGTGAGGTCAACCTGGCACTAGCGGCTGAAGTACTGCCGCATGGGGTATCAAGCCACAACCACCAGTGGCCCAGGAGCAATGACATTCCATATTGGTGGCATAAAGTGTCTCCTGGCTACTAGAGAGAAGATAGGTTTGGGAGATGGGGTACAATGGCTGATGGGCAGCAGTCTGAGAAGCCACAGGAGCATCCACCTCTGACAGCCACTGTATCGAAAACATTAACTGCAGTGAATGTGACTGTAAATCTCCCAGCTATTTGGTCTGGAGCCCCTGGTGGCAAAGAAAGCCCTAGCATTCCTCACATAGCCAGCGGCTCATTCTGACTCCTATCTTCGAAGCTTCAGACAGAGAAAGCGTAGTAGCGCTATATGAGACATGTGCCAGGGCCACCTAGTAGTGCACACCTCTTTTCGTTCTGACCCTTTAAGAACATCATGGAATGCTTTTTAGCCATTAGGTCCACCCTTTTTGGAGCCAAGGCCTACTTGGGCTTCTAACCACAAGCATTTCTACATGAACTCAACCCACTGTTTCTAGCGCCTAAAAGAAATATGGATACCATACTCAGGCTTCAGTCACAGGATTGAGGGAAAAAAAAAAAAATCTAAGCCACCATAACCTAAAGTCTTTCTTAGTTCCATGCCAAGCATTTGTCCCACATTATTCCTTCATGATCCCTTAAACAACCGGAAAGTTGTGGAGGAGGCATAAGCACAGAGTTAATTTTGCCTTCTTTATTACTGTGTTACCCCCAAATCTCATAATTTGGTATATATGAGCCCAAGCCACAAATATTGGCCACTTGATCCCACATGTCCTGATGAGTTATCACACGTCAGAAAGATCGCTAGCAAACTTAACATCTGCTGAATGTTATTTTGCTAAGGCTACCTGGAAGAGACACTATGAGCGGCCTACATGAGAATGCCTATAAAAAGCTTTCATTCTAACGTCTGTGCCTCTCACCGAAGCTCAGGTGAATTGTCGTAATCATGATGATTCCCTTCTAGCTGATAACTGCTTTGGAGCAAGAAAAAACAAACAAACAAATAAACAAACAAAAGTTGGTAAGTCTGTGAATAGCTTCAGAAGCATCATTGTAACTCCCAAAGAGGCTCAAGAATAAGGTTTCTTCTGCCTCTGCCAACCACTGATATTTAGGGACACAATGTAACATCTTACTACCCCAAGAGGAGACTGGCTGAGCAGGAAATAACCTGGGTCCTTCAAAAGCCTCAAATTAACCAGCTCTCAAAACTGACTTTTTTGTGATAACATAACAGATCTTTTATTAAGCTATTTTGCATTAGGTTTTCTCTTTATTGAAGCTCAAAGCATCCTGAGCAAGATGAGTTCTGCCTCTGTGTGCCTCGCCACACTGAGGTAACTGCATCAAAAAAGAAAGAGTAAGATTTATTTCTCAGCAAGTGTTTTTGGAAAACCAGCTATGAAAAGGTATTTTTCAATAGTGACCCCTGATGTATATAGAAAGTGCTTTGAAATCCTCCTACAGAGCACAGACACTGTAATAAAGTTAAGGATGAGCCACTGTGAATGATACGTGTGGGGATAGCCAACATACTTGGAGTCTTCAAATATGTAAACATCAGGAAACTACCATGAGGTTTGTCTTTCTTACTCATCCACTTTTCTTTTATTCCACAATTACAAGATCAGGAATTTACTTTCTTGTTTCTCTTATGAGCCATACCTGCCCCCATGTCTACCTGGTAAACACAGATTCTCTCTCTCTCCCTCTACCCTCTCCACCAATCAGAAAACGAAGTCTTAAGAAGCAGAACTGCAGAGATCTAGAGCTAGCCTGGCATGATTTCCTTCATAATGAAAATGTTTTAAAAATAAATTCATGTGCTTAGAGCTCAATTTAATGCAAAATCTGGAGAAATCAAACCAGATTTAAAGATATTAAACAATAACAATAGTATATTCTGCATTTTAAGAGTCAATTTTCTTCTTCTAGCATTAATATACTCCAAAATTCCAACATATTCCATTCAAATACCATTTCCCTTTCCTCAAAAATATTTATATATGACCCCTCCTGTAAGCCAGTAGTTCTCAAGGGTCTATCTGTATATTAGCTATCTGGAAAACAACCCAGAAGGACAGCTGCTAATAGAGTCACAGTGTGGCACAGAAGTGCCAGCATAAGCAAGCACCTAGGGTGACTCCAAACATACTTCCAGGTGAGGAACTGTGGACTGCATCCTGGATCCCAAGACATAAAGAGAAAACATCTACCTCCCATAGTAGATTTAAGCTGGATCAACGCAAGCATGCTCATGATTGCCTGTAATTTTGATGTTCCCTCTGAGTTCTGGAAGAAACCCAACCTCTCTGTGACCTGGATATGTATTAGTCATCATTTTGCTTTAGAGGTCAGGAGTTTGATCTTTTCCTTACAAGCCCCTACCAGTTCCCCGAGTGTATTTTTCTTGAGATTAAATATAAATTGTATATAAATATAAAACTTTGTAAAATATAAAACAAGCCAAAAAAGGCACAATGCATAACATCTGACTTTGAACCAGAGGCTGCGTTACACAGGCAAAGAATAGGTAAGAAGAGAAGTAAACACTGCATTTCCAGCAGCCAACCCTGAAATCAAAACTTAGGAAGGAAGCTGACCATTAAAGCAAGTGTCCAGGGAACAATAGCTCAGGCCAGTCCTAGGCTAAGTCTGAATCTGAGAGCACTGGAATTAAACAAAGATCCTGCCCCAAGTTCAGTTTCCCTCACTGCTGGGCTCTAAAATAAGGACAGTAGTGTATGCCAGAGCACAGTTTAGATATGGTCTGAGAACGCCCCTGAGCACTAAAGAAACTCCCAAGCAAGGCTCCTCCATCCATCTCTCTCAGGGACATTTTAAATCTCAAAACTCCATGGGCACAGAGCACAGCTGAGAGGGGAAGTCTGTTCCACCTCAGTAGCTCTAACCCACCCAAAGGTACAGGAGCCAGGGGATTAATAGAACTCTTGATTTAAGGAACAAAGAAATGGTATAAGGCCAAGGCAGCCATCACCAAATGACTCAAAAGGCTCCAGATATGCAATGGAATAAACACCCACAGGGAGAGGGGGCAATAACTTGGTAGAAACTGGTCAGAAGGCAAGAAGTCAGAAACACAGGCACAATTTGTATATTCTCTAGTTGTATTACATCTTAAGTTGGAGAGAGGGTGGACTGTTTTGTTTTATTGTTTTAATGGCTTTCTTCTTTGAAGAGTCTTAATCCTTGGGGCAATTTACAAACAGAAAATTTTCAGTATGGGTTCTGATGGATTGCCTCTAACTCTTGATCCAATTAAGCTCATTCCAATCACATTGCATGGAAAGAACCACTGCTTTCAGCGAGTTTCCAGACCTTCTCTCTTCCAGTTGCTCCCAGCAGAACTACCAGCTTCCCGAGGATTCAGAGGCCATCACCAGTCACAAGCACCGCACCAAGCAGAGCATTCACCTGAAACCTCCCATTTCAACGTTCCGTTTGTAATGGTAGAAACCAGCTTTCTAGGGCAGCAAATGCCTGACTTTGGGTTGTAGGGGAACAAGCACAAAACTTCTCTCAGAGCATCAGGAGCTGCTCTCTGAAACCATGTTTTAAGCGAACATCATTGGGGTTCTTTTGACACTTTGGGGGCATTCTTCCGGCAAACTCACATGGCCTCAATTATACTTCTTAATTATTTCTGAATATGTAGTTCAGATACGGCATCACAAAAAAAGGAAAAAAAAGTGATCAATAATGGAAAATTCCTTGACTCTGACCACTTGTTTCTCACCAAAAAACACAAAACATCCTTGATTCTTTTTGATAGCCTTGTAAATCTTTATGGTTGACATATGTGTACCCCCCATAAAAGGTAGCATCAAGTCTTAACAGATGAAAGAAAATGAACCATAACAATCTCCTGCATATGAGCATCAGCCTGCCCCAAAGGATTGACTTATTGGCATGAGCAAAGCACTGCTGAAGGGTAGATTTATAGCACATCAGTTCGGTGAGTTTGGGACTTAATGGATTGAGTAAACTATGCATTCACACCTAACACCACTACTGTTCTTCAATAAAGAACACTCCATCGAAGGAAGGTCAGAACATAGCATTCATGTAATGACTACCACAAAGCAACTCGGCACGGCTACTCAGAAACAGCTGAGGCAACAGTATCCACTAAAATTCAAAAGCATCACAACACTGTTAAAACTCCCAGCACAGAAACCAGGCCCATGCTCAGTGCTTTAGAGATGCTGCAGGGCAAGAGGACATTTGCCAAAAACAGGTCCCTTGTTCTCCAGGCTTCTCCAAAGGGTTAATAAGGTAACTTTAAAAACCAGTGGCCTTAAAGATGAAGACACTCTATTGTCCACACCTGATGAATAAGAGAGCTGAGGAGTGGGTGGACCTGTGGTTTGTCTGATGATGGCTAAGTAGTTTAAGAACAGACACCTCTCAAATACAGGCCTTCTTGCCCCAAATCTAAGTTCTGTAACTACACAACATATTGCTTGTCCTCTGTCATCAAAAGGAACATCTAAACCCTGACAACACCATGGTGACCTGGAATAACGGCTGATGTACTCTGGGATGTACTCTCCCTGCAACCTCCGCTTACCTGTACTGTGGCCCTCAGCAGGCTCCTTAGCAAAGGCCGCCTGGCGCTAAGTCTGTTCTCTGCAGATACCACAGCACATACTTCTCTCCTGAGCCTCCAGCCTACCTGACAAAACAGTGGCAGACAGACACACCGACCTCACTGTGAAGGTCAGAACTCTCTGAGGGGAGGGAAGGGCAGCAGTTGGAGAGGAACCTACTTTGCCAGGTGGTTCATGAGCAGCTGCAACATCTGCCGATTCTTCTCTGGGAGCCGATGAACAAGGCTATGGATCTCAGAGACTCGAGTCTCTTGGTTTTCAAGCTCTGTGAAGGAAAGGGGTAACGCTTTATTGGAATCACAGCTAAGTTACTGGACAAGATAAGACCGAGGGAAGAAAGCCTCGGCACTAACACAAGGAAAATGTTCTCGAGGATTTACGACCTTGTCTTGTGTGCGTGCTTGGGACCAGAGTGGCTGGCTCTGGAAGGCCTTTCAATGTGCTTTCCGTATCAGAGTTCATCCAAATAATGGCTGTGATGAAACAGAGCTGGTCAGCCCCACACCCAGAGAAGGAACAAACACGGGAGCAGCTGGCTCCCTAGAGGACCAACTTCATTTCAAGGAAAGCAGGAACTTTATGCACTTGTCAAGTGATAAACAGATCTTATGTGAACATTACAGAGATCTCAAATTTCAAAATAATGTATCCAGATTCAACAATGAAATCACTACTGTGCTTAAGTTATGTATAACACACTAGCCTAGTATTGAAAGAACAGTGGCAGATAAAATATTTAAATCTGTCACTCTATAACCTATAACATAGCCTGTCACCTTTTGATTAAACTTGGGGAAGTGGCTTCATTTCTCTGGGAAATAGAGTGTCAATACTCATCATACCTATTTATAGAACTGATGTGAAGTTTAATTAGAGAATGGTTTGGAATTTCTCTTGAGAAAGCATTCACATAAACACCATCTTCACTCCCAGCTTTCTCCCATGCCTTTCCATTCCTTGTTGAAGAGGACAAGCTCAAGTATATAAGGCTAGCGGAACATTAGGTACTATAAAAATTAGGCCAGTAGTAGTTACCAGGGTAAACAAACCCTAAAGGCTAAAAGGAACCAGCAGAGACACAGCTATGGGCATCATAATGCCAAGAGCAGTCCTGCCAGGTTTAAATCTGATAGAGAATCTAACTGCCCCGTTACCTCTGGTCTGCCCCACGTAGACAGATTCCAGTATACTTAGGGTAGCTTGAACCTAATCCTGATGTACTTTAACACCAGTAATATGAACTAGGAACCCAGATGATATAGCCAAGAATGATCAGAAGTTGTACAGGGAAGACGCAGTGGAAAAAAGACCGTGAAGTTACATAAATGGTGTCATACTCAGGGAAATCCTTTCATTTCTCAATTTAGGAAATGTACAATGTCTGATTCATTTTGCAGAATGCTACTTTAAGGGCGGGGAAACTACAGGAAGTTACACTCCAATACTGAAAACTGGAAAGGCAAAATTGCCTTTCTGTCTCATCTCTCCTTCCTTCTACTCATCTCTCCTCCAGCCAAGAAAAATACCTCTGAAATTTTTCTTTTCCACTGTAAAGTCAAAGTGTTAGTAAGGCCCCTGGCAGTCTTGATTCCATTTCGTTTTTATTCTGTGACAGAGTCTCCTAAGTTTGTATGCAGACATTTTGATATAGATTGTGACAGGCTACATAGCATCTACTTTGGGATTCTGAATGTTCCCCGAAATAGAAAAAAAAAAAATCTATTCTTTTCTCCTTAAAACAACAACCAAAAGATGCTTACTTGCTGCTTTGATGAAACTTCTTTGAAACTGGTACATCATGAGTGGTCCTGGAAGCATCCTAGAATTAAAATATACAGACATAGACAAGTCAGTTTCACAGTAAGACAACTCCTCTTGCTGAATACTGCCAGACAGCACCGCACACCTCAAACACACAGAGTGCAGAGAAACAATAGAGAAACAATAGGTGCAGCTCACCGTAGCAGTGTGACAGAAAGCAGGTGACATTCCTCCAGAAACCTCAGGCTCACATTTTTCCTCACCTCTTCCCCACTAACTGCATCTTGCTATGGCACCAAGGCTGAACTGGAACTCCTGATCTTTCTTCCACCTCCCAGGTGCTGGGGTCACAGCTGTGTGCACTATTCTGTCCCTCTTCTTCTTCTTTTTTTAAAAGGGCAGCTCTAACTACACACCAGTCACGAGTGACAAGGGCTAATGCAGAACTATACCACAAACCAAAAGACCTCCTTTCATCAGCCACTGAGTCATCCATGAACAAGAGCACTTTAGGACACGTCTGAGAAACACGCAACCAGTTACATATCTACCCCAGCTGGCCTTAGACTCTCATTTCTCCAGAAGTATGGTGTTGAAATCAGTACTTCTAGAAACACCATAAAAGTAGGTGTTTCACTTCCAAGAGGAATATTTCTTCCTCTTGGGCTACAGGTCATTGTACTAGCACAGTTAATCATGGGAACATGATTAACTGCAAATGAGCTTTTTCCGATAATTCAGATAGTAACCATACAGACTCTTCATCACTTGGCTCAAATGTCATTCTATCAGCTTCCCTAGCTTCCCAAACTCAACTCCTCGTCACCTCCCAAATTGCCTCTCATTTGTTACAATGTCCCAAATAAAGTTGGCTTCAGCAACTCCTTTTCTGTGAGCTCCTTAGACACCTAAACACATGAATCTTCATGAAATCTGTATAGAGGCTTATTCAACACATGATTCCAGTTCTCCTCTGTTTAAGACTATAACCCATTCTCAAATATAACTATAGCACAGAATTATGGCGTTCCTACCAAGTGTAAGTTGCAGAGCTGCATGGGGGTTAGGGAGGTGGTAAGCAGTGAGCCTATAGTCCAAATAAGAGATAGACAAGAGCAATAATTCATGTACAATAGTACATGGTAATATTTTCTTTCGCCCTCTCCTTCTCTCCCTTTTTATTTAGTTAACCATACCAGCAGAGACCAAACGGCAATTTCCAAAAGGCAGTTTTCCCACATCTATCTTCTCATTTTTAAGGAACACGATAAGCAATATATTCTATGGAAAACTCAAAACAGTCACAATAAACTGGGTATGTGAACAAGCCTGCTTCATGGAGTGATGTATGAGTTCTTGTTTTCATAACAGATCATTAAGGCAAGGCCACAGTTTAGGGTATGTCTAAGGCTAATCCTCTCAGAGCATCTCATTAAGATGAGGGTTTTCTAAATCACTCTTGGCACCATTGCACAGTGACAGCCCGTCAACCCTGAGCAATTTACGATCAGCCTGACGAGCTGAACTTAATGCTCCCACACAGAAGCAGTTTCCACATCTCAAACGCCCACCCAGCAGCTCTCTTGGAGGCTGCAAATAAAACTGCTTTCTTTCTGACAGCATGCTAACTATGTGGCTTGCTGCTCACAGGTGGAAATCCCCACCTCAGGTAGGTCTTCAGAGCACTCGTGACGGTCTTTATCTCCCATTCCGCACAGATATCAGTTTCTGTCTCAGAAGCTGCTTTGGGGTCTAAGAGGGAAAAGACAATGAACAAAACAAAACATCAAACATGATAGCAGCAAATATTCATATGCGAAAGCACTCAACTTCATCACTAACTAGAAAAATGAAAATTACAGTTTAAAAAAAAGCCAGATGTAGTGGCACACGCCTGTAATCCCAGCACTCAGGGAAGCAGAGGAGGGCACATCTTTGTGAGTTTGAGGCCAGCCTGGTCTACAAAGCGAGTCAAGGACAGCCAAGGCTACACAGAGAAACCGTGTCTGAGAAAAAAAAAAAAAAAAACAGAAAAAAAAGTTAAAAATAAGACATTTATTTTGCCAAATGTGCCAGAGAAACATTTAAAAATCCAAATATTTATTATAAGAAGAGTATGGTGAAGATACTCAGTTTATAAATTCCTAGAGGCAGCTGATAACAATGCAACAGACTAAAAAGGAATTTGATATATATCATCAAGAGTCTGGAAATGTTCAGATCCTCCAAACCAGTAATTCCATTTCTCACCATCATGCCTCAAGGAATAAGACAAAGCATGCACCAAGTTGCAGACCAGACACCTACAGCACATGCTCTTCTTTAAAACAGTGGAAAAATAACAGAGACGGTCTACAGGTCTAATCAGAAGAGAGTAGTTAAGTGAATTACAGTAGGATTCTCTGATGGAATATTATGTTGCCATTTTTTAAACTTAACATTACATTAATACTACTTATGACATGGAAAATGCTTGTATTATATAATAGTAAGTTTTTAAAAAGCAAGATTCAAACATTTTTGAGAAACATAAAAAAAGAACTAAAAGCAAACACTTTCAAATTATAACGATTGTGTTAAAGGAGTAAGAATTGTGGTTTTTATATTTTCTGAATTAAGTATGGTTTGCCTCTATTATTTTATAGTATTTCTTTCAGTTGTCTTAAGTATAAGGAGTATTACCAGTATTATGCTGGCCCCTGATGACTTCTTCTTCAGCCTCTTCTTGCATGCAACTTTAAGCAAATGTATTTTAAGTAAAGACACTGCTAAAGGAGAAATTCATGTAGCTACCCCGAGCAACACAGACAAGCAAGAATAAAAGGCAGAGGATGGAGGATGAACAGCTTCATGGGTCATCAAGGACCACTGTCACTATAGCAAGATGGGTCAGATCACAAACAAATAGGACAGGGATGCAGAAGAGTCTTTAGGTGTATGGAGGCAAAGCCCACACTTTCTTAAGCAGCCTCAAGATCAAGACATATCCAGACAGCTCAGCTAGCATTCTCTTCCCTTTGTGCACACTGCCTCATTCACTCATTTCACTGGGACTTTCTTTTATTGCTCCTTCTAGGGTTGGGAAGTAAAGTCAAGGTAGACAGCTCAAAGGCACAACTCAGGATACTGTGAACTGATTCAGGGATGGTTCAGGACCTGCCCGACTCTAGTGATCACAAGTTCTTTTCTAGGAGACAAACTGCTGTTTGATGTGCTTCCTGCTCAAAGGTTATGTAAGTGTTAAGTGCTACCATTAAGAGCCTCAGAGAAATCATCCAGGACAAAGCCAGAAAAAAGAGACAGTGGATCTGGATGGTAGGCTCAGCACTTGAACCTAGGCATGCCTTTTCAGTCAAACAAGCCAGTGTCCCCACCTCTTGTCTCTTGGAAAAGTCCTTAAGGTCACAGTGGCCGGACGGGCTCAGATTGTGAGCCATCCCTGAACCAGTCACAAGGACATCAGAGAAGTTGGGTGCCTTTAATTAGTTGTCCCTAGTTCATATTCCCCATCTTTTGAAAGAGTAAGAAAAGATAAATGGTGATTTAGATCTGGCTTTCCAGTTTGATATTTAAATGACATGCCAGGTAAATAGAGACTGAAACCGGACTACCTCTTTCTCAATAGTTCCAAAGACTGAACATCAAGCAAGAGTTTCTGCCTACGGGGCTAAGTGCACTTCCACTGGGGAAGGAGATGAGTCACCAGGCATACTTTTCTGTCTGATGAGAAAGAACCCACGTTCATCCCAGTGGGATGAGGTCAAATACTTGTGAATTGCTTAAGGATTTAACCTATAATTCTCCAGAGAAAGCACACAGTTCTAGCTAGTCCCTACTGCACAGGGTGTCCCACTGACATATTTACAGATGAAGCAGAGAAGGGCTGTAGCTCGCAAACTTTGCAGCTCCTAAAGGCAAGACACTTGTGCAGTGTCCACACGTGACCATGGGCAATAAGACTTACTTGTCACACGAAACAGACAACAAAGAACCATTTTCATAAAATGATGAAGCCCACATAGTTCTATTATAGCAAGTGTCCTTAAAGGTTTAAAAATGTAATTTTCCTACTGTCTCGATCTCTTACTTTACTTCTTTTCCTTTTCTGTCACCTGAGGCTTCCTGTTTGCCTCCTACAGACAGACACAGACTGCTGAAGCCCAAGGCATCCAGGCACTGTGCTTGGCATAGTGTCCCCATAACCCACTCTGTCCCCAAGGCGCATGAGCCCTGCTCATTTCTTGGTTTCTGGGGTCAAAACAAATGTTACTGTACATTTTTCTGAGGATGAATCCAACTTCTACCCCAGAAAAGGAAGCACAAATTGACATCAGCAGCGGTTGGCAGGTCTTGGAGGTGTGAACTGCTCCATGAGCCACATTTAGCAAACTAATCATTAGCTTCCACTTTTTTGGGCTATGCAACCATAGGAATATTGTGTAACGTTACAGGGAGGAGAGTCAGATTACAGTCTGGCTGAAAGGCTTTTTATAGCACAGATGAGGCAAGCCTCATAACTTGAATGTGTCCACTCTAATTCATTTCAGAGCCAAACTAAATTGAATAGAACCACCCAAGTGACCACATTTCCAGAAAGAGTAGCTTGTCACTATACCTCCTTTCTGAGGCTTCCTTTGCTGAACAGGATGTCCAGGTGACATCTGAGCATCTCTGAAGAACTCAGACCTTTCTCCCCACCAGGCACCTCAACCACTGCAGAACTTAGTGAGATGGACATTCACGGAGAGGAATGGGGCATCTAAGTGACAAACAGTGACTAGCAACTCTCTACCACCCACCACCGGGATACCCAGAAAATCAGGGGACACAGCAGAAGCTGTGCTGCTAACAAGAAGAAGCTGTCTTAGGTCCCACCAAACCAGCTTCTGAGAACAACTCAGAACACCAAGAGTAAAAGAAACTCTAGGGATGAAGGTGTGAGCCTGTAATCTGGTGGGAAAGCAGAGACAGGAGGATCCCTGGAGTTCACTGACCAGGCAGTCTAGTGGAATCAGTGAGATGCAGGTTCAGTAGAGGGTCCCTGCCCCAAAATAAGGTGTGAAGTGACAGTGAAAGATACCGAGCATCAACTTCTGGACTATCCACACACATGCAAGAGAATATATTTACAGCTTGCACAAACGTACAACAGCAAAGAGAAAGAAATGAAAATGTATATACGTATTAAACAGTAAATCTGTGTCTTTTAAGTTTCTGAGAATACTATTCAAGCTGTCCTGGGGGGGGGTTAATCTTGAGTGATTATTCCCACCCTCAAAACAACACGCAGTCAGACTTTGATCTTTACCAGTCAAACATGGTGTTTTGTTTTTTTAAGTTATCTCAATGTTTTAATTTGCATTTTTTTTTTTTACAAGGAAGACAAATGCAGAACACTTTTCGGTGTATGAGTGTTAACAGTGAATATTCCTGAAGTACACTTAATTGTTCTACACCTGTACTGTTCCATAATTTCTGAAATGCATATACAGTCAGGGTCCCATCCCCACCACCCAGGTACTCCAGCACCTCAGAACTCCTGGTGCCATTACATTCAGTCCTTCCCTGCTACCTTCATGCCCTGGCAAGAGGTGCACATGGCATAATACTTCCAAAATCCATCCATACTGTTACATGTACAGTAGTTTATTCCATTTTTACTGAGTTGTATTCAGTATTCTAGATATGTCATAATTTGTTTGCCCATTCCCTAGATGACAGACATCTGGGTGCTTTCCAGTTGTGGCTGCTATGAATAAAGCTACTACAAACATTTGCACAGAGGCTGTCTATGGACTACATTTTTATCTCTTAGGTAAATGCTGCATCAACAAGCAGGGCTAGGTCCAAATCTACAAGAATAGATCAAATGATAAAAATGTTTTCCTTAAATGAAATGGTCAAATTGTCTTCCAAAATGTTAAGGCTATTGGCACACCCACCAACAGACTGTGACAGCTCTGGCTGCTTCACATCCTCTCACAAAGGACGCAGTCAGCCATTCACTTTAATTTTAGCTATCCTAGGAGTACATTATAGCAGTACTGACACCTGATGCCAGCTGTAGTCTCACGCACACTACAGTGGGGGTCATCTTTACATGTGGTATTTGTTCTTTGTGTATTTAATCAACTGGGTTTTTTTTTTTCAATATTTTTGTCTATTTTAAGAACTAGGAGGGTTGTCTTAAGAATCAAGAGTTTTAAAAATATATTCTAGATACAAAATACTGATTATATACACATTTTTATAAATACTTTCTTCAGATCTTAAAACTTAAACTTTCTTTTTGAAAAAAAAAATTCTACAGTACTATGGATTGAATTTTGGCCCTCATGAACATTAGGCAAATATATATCATGGAGTCACATCTCAAATCTTGTATTTTGTCTTAAAGCAGGGTCATAGTAAGTTATCCAGGCTGGCTCTGAACTTACTCTGTAGACCAGACTGGCCTTGAACTTATCATTTCCCTGCTTTAGCCTTCCAAAGAGCTGGGGTTACAGGCTGTACCAATAGGTCCACAATGGATAAGATCTTTTTAGAGAGAAAGTTTCTTATTTAAATGAAGTTCAACTTAACATATGTTCCTTTAATGGTTCTTTCTTGTGTTCTAGTTAGGGAAGCTCTTTAAAGACAAAATCACAGATATTTCTTCGGCGTTTTCTATTAGAAAGTACACAGTGTCAGCTCTTAGGATACATTTCAAGATACTTTTCACATATGGTGTCAAATGAGAGCTCATTTCAACC